AAGAAAACAACAAAAGAAGGGATGGGGCAGAAATTCACTATACTCTAAATAAGTAAATCTACTTACCAGTAATGCTGAGACGCACAGCTTTTTCATTCTTCAATCTTGGGGAAAAAAAGTGTACATATGTCAGAAAATTTCTAATGCAATTTTAAAAAACCATAACACAAAGGAAAAAAATGCTCAAAAATCTTTAATATAAAGATCACTGTTACATTTATGAAATTAATACAATGAATGCCATGGAAACAAGTGTTATTATAAACTCCTTATACTTTTTTAATGGCTATAAGAAGTCTATAGAACTTTTTTAATTACAAATATAACTTTGAATGAATTAAGAATGAATATCAGGGGTGTTTTGTAATGATGGACAAGTGTATAATATTTGTGTACAAAAGTGTATGAAAAAGAATACCTTTTACAATAAGTGAATGCTAATAAAATGAATGAACTGTTATCTCTTAGACTTCCAAGTCCTGGTGTGGCACTATTAGATAAAAACTAGGCTGTTAACCACAAGACAGGCAGTTTAAATCCACTAGCTGATACTTGGAAACTCTATATAGGATTTCTAGGAATCAGAACCAATTTGACTGCACTTAACAACAACTTAAGACTTAAAAAGAACAAAATTACATATAAAAGAATTTTAACAAAGTATTTTTTTTTCTCAAAAATTCTAGAAAGATATACTATTATTGGCATTCTAAAAACTAATCTATAGGGTAAGCACTGGACTGCTAACTGCAAGTCCGGCAGTTCAAACTCAGTAGCTGTTCTTCAGAAACCTATGTAAGGCCACTATGAGTCACAACTGACTCCATGGCACTTAACAAGAAAAACTAATCATTCAAAACAAGGCTTTGGATACCTACTCTATGTCTAAATTAATGCTAGCCCCTAGAGATACAGCAGTGAACAAAAGGGCAGCTGTCTTTGCTCTAAGAGAGTACACTATGATGTTGGAGGACTACTGGTGTGGCACTGGTGCATCAGCACTGGCCTGCTAACCACAGAGTTGACAGTTCAATCCCACCAGCAGCTCCTGGGAAACTTTATTCAAGGTAGCTATGTGTCTGTGTTGGAAGAAGTACAGCCAGAGTGCTCCTTGGAAGTCAAGATGGACAGACTTCATCTCTCATACTTCGGACAT